GTTGAAGGAATTGATTTCGATGAAACTTTTGTACCTGTTGCTAGACTTTTGGTCACGGCCCCCGTTATCAGTCTCCATGGGGGTGGGTCCCCCCATGTCTTCGGCAGCCAAGGTGTTACCCTCTGGTGCCGTCTTGACGACCTCCCGCCTCTCTCCATGGCCTGGAGAGACTCTTCAGGACAAAACCTCGGTTTCGCCCGTGGCGGTTGGCGGGGAGGCCCACGGAGGCGTTTCGCTCTCCACCATCCCCGGCTCTAGCAAATTCTCCGGAGATAAGGATAGTTGGGGGAGGTCGCGGGCCGGACTGAAACACAATACGGTATGTTAAAAAATACAATTGTAAATGCCGATGTATGTAAGGCATCTGGAGATACTTACGATTCTGCAGGAGGCTTCGACCTGGGGTGATGGTCGGGGATGACTTCGGCATCCGAATCCGAGTCGTCCGTGAGAGATACTCTCCCCCATTTGGACGCCTCCGCTTCTGGTCTGTGGAAGCCGCCCTTTTCTTCCTCCTCCCCTTAGGGGGAGAATTGCTCTCTTCCTCCTCCTCCTTTTCGTCTTCATCTCCCTCGTGAGAGGAGAGGGCTTCGAACTCCATAGACATAGTGTCCGAGGGACCTTTACGGTGGGGGACGTTTTTGGCCTCCTTGCCCCTCTTCTTGGTTTTCTTCTCCGGTGCCTGGTACGGCGCCGAAACCAACATCCTCGTCAATAGAGGATCAACTAGGTTTTCGGGCAGTGGAGCTGGACACTTGATCCGCTCCGCCTTCTTCGTCCATCCCTGTTTAAAGTATGAAAGTCTCAATACACCCCTGTGATTTTTTGAACTAAGTTATGTTCGGAAATTGAAACTTACCGGGGAGGCTGGATGAGTACAGTCGAGGCCGATGTCGTCAGTTCTCTCTGACCACGACTTCTGGGCCTTGAAAAGCAGCCTCCAGATATCTTCGTGCGTTGTGCCAAAGAATCACTGCAGGGCCTGCGGCCCTTCTGGATTGAACTCCCACATATGGAGAGGTCGGCGCTCGCAAGGAAGGGGCCGGCGGAACAGCATCACCTGAACCACGCCAGTGAGGCTGGTGTTCTTTGCTATCATATTTTTGATGCGCTTTTGCAGCATCATCACCTCGTCGGCCGACCCCCAGTTCAGACCCTTGTTGATCCACGACGCGAGCCGCATTGGGGGTCCGGATCTAAACTCAGGAGTGGCCGCCCAGTTGGTGCCACGAGGTTCAGTGATGTAGAACCACTCCTACTGCCATATCTTCACAGTTTCCACAAAGGCCCCCTTGGGCTAGGTGACGTTGGGGAGTTTGCTCACCATCGCACCTCCGCAGTCTGCG